TAAAGTTTAAATCTTTCCATGACTACTAAATTACTTGTAAAAGTGATATAATAAATAAAGTACATTCAAGAACCTAATTATTTATAAAAATACTAATAATAAAAATAATAAAATTAAATAACAAGATAAAATAATTGAAACTCATTTTATAACAATATTATTAATATCATGTTTACTAATTTTAAAAATGAAACCTTCAGACAGGTATCTGAGTTTTCAAAAAAACCTCATCCATTTAACTTTTTATATCTTATTTGGTATCTTCATGACAACTATAGAAATAAAAATAGTAATGCTCCTATAAATATAAAATCAGAATATATCTAAGATCTTTATAAATCTTTTATTGGATATTACTATTCGCAGTATCAAATGCTACTACAAACTCGTTGGGAGTATGAGTTATATATAGCTAAATACTATTTAGAAAGAAAAGAGTTACATTTTCAATTTTCAGAATGGTTTATTAAAATCCTAGAAACTTATCCTAATATGACTATATCATACTTGAATGATTAGCGTCTTTTCTATACTTGGCTAAATAATAAAAAATTAAATATATATTTAAAATGTTTAGTAAAATTTAATAATTATTTTTTAGTTCATTAATAGAGTTTCTTGTTAGTCAAAATGCTATACCATAAATATTTAATAGTAAAAATTAGGTTAACTTACTTTCTGAATAGCGTGCATATGAAATACTAGATAAAGTTCATGAATAGTTAGATTTCTTAATAGATACAGTAAATAACTTCAACATTTTTTTTTCAAAAGAATTACTAAAAGCACTTGAATTGTTAAATGAGATAGAATTTGAAGAAATATTTAGTTCATTAGAAAGAGAAATGAAAAAAGCATTAGTCCATTTTGAAAAATGAATAGCTCAATAGCTAAAACTACTTTTATTTGTTTGCTGTTTAGGAAAAAGTTATGCATAACCTTTTGTTAGAAATTATCGATATATTATTTTGAATATTCCAACAGTTTTTGAGCTATCCAAACAGAAGATAACATATATTCACCAACTTGAAAATAATCTAAAAGATGATAATTCAAATGATTTTGGCTTGAAAAGACTCTATCTTTCAGATCTAAAATTTTGTGAACAATTTGACAATTTTTGCAATACGTTAAATTCTGAATTACTGAATTATCCTCTATTTTACAAGTTCATTACTACAAAAATTTATTATATAATTGTACATCAGCAACAAGTTGAGGGCATGTTTAATAAACTAGATCTTAAGACGCACTGTAATATGTTGTTAGATCTCAAAGAATCCAAGCTACTCTTTCACAAACAAAATTTTCTAAAGAGGATATTAAGAATAGAATTGTTAGTATTAGACGAAATATTAAAAAAGAAAAAATTAAAATTGAAGAGGTGGATTTTAGTATGCAAAATGCATTAATGAAATTTAATAAAATTTTTACATAGCAATAGCAATAGCTTAACATTTTTTTATTACAATAAATTAGCTAATCACAATTGTTAAAAATCTGTACTATGGTAATCTATTAAGGGTCTACATATAGTTTTGATTTTGTTAGTTGACCAATTACCCTAATGATTACAGTAGCAATTATACGACAGCTAGAATAGCTTATGAAGGAAGGATCAGAAGAAGAAAAGAAGGAAGCTAACAAAATGTTTAAGCAATTTAAAGTATGTTACTTTTTTGCGTTAGAGAGCTAGTACTGGTTTAGTTATGTGAGGGTTTAGGAGTGATTATTACAAGCTTTACACACTTAATATCCTTGGGTCGAACCTGAGACAAAGTATTTGTTTTTCATTATTCTGTTCGTGATATTGTTATATTTTTTTATATAGTGGTTGTAGCAGGAATTACGAGGGAATATATTTCACTTGTGTATAGAATATGTTCCTTTCTGTCTCAACTGAAATTGAAGCTACCCACTGGAATACATATCTGAGTAGTGATAGAATATGTTTCACTGAAATCTTTCTATGAACTTGCAAAAGTTAGTTAACTATCATGAGCTAACCTTGTTTTTATTACTGTTAATTTTTTGTAGGAAGGTGTAAAAGCTGGTGGGTATATTGATGATTTTTGAATTAAAATAGATTTGGAGAGAAAAATAAACTTATAAGAAATCAAGGTTTCTGCAGAAGTTCGTAAAATACAGATAATAAAAATTGTTTCTTTTTAGCCTTTACCCGCACATCCTAAGGCTAAGCTTAATTTAAATTTTTTCTGTTTTCCATGTAATAGTCGAATAAATGCTTGATCATAGTAAAGGGTTTGACTTTATACTTCTAGATTTAGTGTTATCACTATACAAATATTATGTTTATGTAGAATAAGAGGTCTCTTGATATCTTGAAAGAGACAGTAGTAGAACATAATGAAGCATCAGCATTATTAGCTGACTTTGCTTGTGACGGACAGGATGTCAGAAAAAGAAGAAAGCAGTATCACCAGTTGGATGGATATACTACTCCCTCCTCAGGTAGTCCAATGATATATCCATTGGAAGAGGAAAGTCTATTCGTTGATGAGAAAGAGGATAAAGATATCATAATTGATGACATTCCATGTGAATTTTCTTTCAAAAATGGAGATCCAGTTGATGATTTATATGTAGAAGAGACTAATGTGTCTCTACTTTTTAGAAATTATCAGAATCAGTCACTAAATATTGCAAGAGACAAGAGCTTATTTGTGAAATCAAATATACAGGAAATATTATCATTATCATCAATTATATTACTTGCCTCAAATTCCTACTCCAATACAATAATTGATTACTTTGGATTGTCCTTGCTTGATGAAATTTATCAAAAATTTAAACCAGAGTAGCAAATAGTATTGGATTTGAATTTTGAAACAATATTCTGAAAAACAGTAAAAATATCAATAGGTGGATCACGTGATTATGCTATTATCTGGTTATATGGAAAACTTTCAAGTGAGCAATCTTTAAGTTAAAATTTAAGTTTTATTATTCTAGACTGCTTGAGAGTGCTACCCTCTTCAAAAATTAGGAATGAGCATAGCAAAAATACATACTATACCAATTTTCTTGATTGTATTATGAAAGGACTCTTGATGTTCCCAATAAACACATGGTACGATGGCCCAATACAGCTTAAATGAAAGCAAGATAAGAAAAGCCAAAAGTCATGCTAAATAACTAGATTTCACAACTTCCATAATTTGTCAATTACAAACTAGTGCCATCTTATTTGTGAACGAAGTTAGCTCTCTATCAAAAAGAGGGGATGTATATATAAATTGTAATGATCTTATTTGTTTGGATATGTTTATGAAGGATATTCTAGACTTATCTGTTAATAAAAGTGCTGATATAAAAGTGCTAGGCTTCTAGTGTATTAGTAAGGAAATTAATATATTATTTACTCTTTTTCTTAGATTATTCTTTAATCACTTTTTGATCATTTATGAATTATAAAGTTGACTATTATACCATGAACCTTGTTCAAGGAATTTATATTATGATTCATATTGGTCAGATGTTGGTTCCAGCATCTTTAAAAGATATGTCATCTTTTGTAGATGATATAGAATTATCTTTAAGAGTACAAGATATTTTTCGCAAATCTTATGAAAATTTTTATCCCAAGCTTTGTAATCTGAGATTATTGATGAAAAAAGCAATATTCAAATGAGAAACTCTTTGCACTTTAAAGTTTTGACAGCTAGTAAGTAAGTAGTATTTGTACCTGAGTAGTGATTATGGCTACTGAGGTAGATTTAACTAGATAATACCTGAGGTAATTACTGAATTACAGCAAAATACTGTAAATATATTTTCAGATTATTTGAATGCTGTAATTAGTGATGTGCCATTTATATGATACTCAAATTTTTTTCACATAGTGCATATAGTTGATTCTAGCGATCTGATTGGTTGATAGAATTCATCTGAAGTAATCGGCAAGAATTTTTGTGTACAGACCAAATTTTAATGATAGAAAATAAACTTGTAAGCCTGAAGCCTGGTTTCCCTTGGTGATACCAGGTATTATAAGTTCATATGGCATTGTAGCATTATAGCAAAATCTTAGGCATTCAGAAAATGTATACCAGGTTAGTGCACCATAATAGCTGAATAATATTAGATTTTTCAGAGATCATTGTCAGAATGATTTTAAATATGTTTTGTCATTTTATCATAAAAATGCAGCGAGTACAGAGATATAAATTAATTTATTATAGGTTATATTATGTGAAACTTAAATTTTTCACTTTGTTACGTACGTATATAAATAAATATAATATTATCTAATATGAATTGCAGATTTTAAATACATAGATTAATAAATGATTTTTATACTCACTGACTAAATTAACCGATTATTTAATGAGTAAATATTTATAAATATGAATTGCAGATTTTAAATACATAGATTAATAAATAATCTTTATACTC